CTCACCAAATGGTTGTTAGTTTAGGGCAACAGACTAGTAGTAGAAAAATTGCCCACTACGAAAATATTCTTCGTATGCATTCCTGTCGCGTGTAACGCCGATAACCTTTTCCATACCATAACAGACACTTTACACTAATCACTGCCACTCTACAGAAAAACAGGTCAACGTATTTTTTGTAAAATTGGTCGCCAAACGACTTCATCTACAGATATTATGTAGTTTGATCCGCGTCCATGTTTGTTCTAATGGCAGAATTAATTATGGCAGACGCATTCATCCATCAGAGTTCAGAAGAGACACTGCCCCAAGAGAACTAGCCGCTGTATTGCATCAGAGAGCTGGCGAACGCAGTGCGCGTAGATTACAAATTCGTCCTATCTCAAACTACAAATTGCCAGTTTGAGTTCAGTGATGACTTTCCGGAGTACAAGACGCGGCAGGAATGTGACTCAGTACAGGCACTGCGCGAATATAATATATTTCTCCCTCACGTCCATATTATGTATATACCTGAATTATATGTAGATCATATATTGTGAATGAGATTTCTTATAATTAAGACTTTATGATATGATATATTAGTAGATTTCCTATATTCTCATATAAAATACACTTGATACACTGGCCTTGCCTATTAAGCATTATATTAAATAGATGTTGTAATTGCAAATTAAAATGAGTATTTATTCAGTGATACCGAACAAGCTGAGTATAGATGCTGTCTGTCTCGATAACTGACTATTTTTGCATGTATAGTCACATAGCTGCTACGTAATCAAAACGTACAACTAACGTTAATCTTCCACGCTCACATAGTGATATATAGCTAGCACATCGTTAAATACGTGACGATAGCTCACCATGTACTGATTGTAGGTACTCACTATACTGACCCGTATATATCATTAATACTCCTCTATGCATTTAGTCTCTACGGTCTTATCTTAAATCTTATCTATATAATTATCTATACTATTCGATATTTTATCATGTATGCGGATATCTGTAGCTAGTTACTATCTAGTCCTTTAGCTTAAATCATTATACTATTGCTATACATGGATCGTATCTATCTTATCTTTTCTAATCTATTTTCTCTTGTGGTTAGTATTTGATATCGTCACTTCTCACTGCTTTTAATGAACTATCATGAGTGTTATGCTAGAGCCACTATTCTCAGTCGTTTAGATTCTATCCTCGATCAATCTTAATCGCCTACTGCCATTATTTCCGTATCTAGTAATTTTGATCTATGCTAAATAACCAATACGTATCGTATGCTATGTAAATTATCATAGTAGCTTATCTTCAGTCACTGGATACTTATGTGTGTAGTGTAGTCTATATTCTGACCTATCGTAGTGCGGTACTCATAATACGTCACTACGATCATAATCTATGCGTAGTCCCATAGTCTAGCGCTAATACTAGTTTATCGTAGTGCTGATGTCTATCATGATCTATCGTATGTTGCGTATGTGCTGATGCAATCGTAGTCGGTATCTATCTATTCTATATCGTTATCATAGTGCATATGCGTAAAATGCGTATTCTTTGCGCGTATCAATATCTAGTTGCTAAATCTAATCGTAATCTACCTAGTCGTGATCTATTACTATCTATCTAGTCTATCTTATCCGTACTCGTATGCTAATCGTTATCATATCTAGTCTATCTTATACTATCGTATCTATCTTATTCATATCTATCAGTATCTGTTATACGATAGTCTATCGTATTCGGGGTTAAGATGAGGGTGGGGGGTGTGATATTTGTGATTTGTGGGGATGGTGGTGGGTGGGGTATGGTGTTGTAGTGTATATGGCTGAGATCGGTAATGCGTCCCCTAGTATATATATACGAACACCTATTATAATATCATTCGTATATATGACAGAGGTGAACTTTAAAAGCGATATTTCGCAAGCCAGCGTAGATGACCTGCGGTGATGGCGACTTGATATATAGTACTGGTGAATGACTATAAAGCATAACTCGGCCTTCTCGAGAGAAACAAATCACTCTATCAGTGTAAGTTTTGGCCTACAGTACCTTCCGCACATGTAAATTGCATAAGCATGCGAAAAAAATTAAAGTAACGCTCACCGATCAGGAGTCAGGGCAATGTTGTGAGGCACTGCGGTGTTAGTTGGCGTGCAACGAGAAGAGATGAGCTGCGGCCGTGTCCATGCTACGTTTGTGCGGTGAAAAAGAATGGGGCAGGCGTATAGATTATGAGACGGAAGAGAGGGGTAAAAAGGGAGTGAGAGAGAGAGGGCAAGGGAGAGAAAGAGAAGAGTGGGTGAGGGTAGGAGCCGAGAGAAGGGCAGCATAAGGCCAGGAAAGAGAGGGAGAGAAGAGAGAGAGCAGGGAGGAGAAGAGAGAGAGGAGCATGGTGTAGATGTTGAGAGAGGAGATGGCTAGCATCGAAGAGAGGAGAAAGAGAGAAAGAAGAGAGGCGGACGGAATATGAGACGAAAATGAAACACGGAATAAGAATAGAATTGTTTAGAAATAATGCATCGAGATAATCCACGTTGACACCTCTAGGCAACGACAAGATCAATCTGCTGACGAGCCAGGATTCATACGAGTTGCGTATTGATATGGAGGACACCAGCGGCAACAAAAGAGCACTAGCTCCGCGCATTTTTCATGCTAGCAGCCGGAGAAGGAGACGAGAGATAACTCTCTCAGCTTGGGCGACTACAGTGGCGACGCAGGTAAGCGCAATAACACTGATCTACACACAGAGTTATGCGTGTGTATCGCGCGCAGCGGTGGCACGGCGATTTATGTGCGTGTTGCAAACCGCGCCACTTAAATTGATCAAACTAATAATAAACTTACTAAGGTTACACGCGAAAAGCTAGTCGGTCTAACGTTTCATGTAAATCCATGCTTTATTATCACTAATTGCATTCTTGATACTTCAGACAATTTTTCTGCTGGCGCGGCCGCGACAAATAAACCTCGACAATATTTCACCATTGAGATTCGAGATATATAGTAGAGATTGAGAGTGATCATATATTATAGTGATATATATAGTAATGTATAGAGATATAGTGTCGAATACTAGTATAATAATATATATCAGCTGGCATTTAGATACGTGTTAGACTCTGTGCACTGGTAAGTATGTATGTCGTATACGTCATCACTGTTAATTGCAGGCAGATTCAATTCTCAAGCCACAACACAATGTGCATTTACCCACGAGGGATGTGCGGATAAACGACGCGAGCAGATGGAGGATGCGCTCGCAGGTAATAGCCATCGTAATCATGCCTACTCCTCTGGCCCACGTTAATGTCGCTGAAGTTAGCTCAGCGTTAATTGGGTCAGGTCCCGTTCCCCTTAACCAGAGCCGCTATCGCGACGATGAGTCGCGATATTTGAGTCGCATGTGCAGTTTGATCTTAAGGCAGGCAGTCTCGCAAAACACACAACACCACGACACACTACATTTCTTTGCACACACACTGATCAGTCGGCACTGACGTTCACACATCACACAGACATACATGATACGGAAAACACTGATACACGCATGCACACCCAACATCACACATCAGTTCACACATCACTATAATAGTAGAACGTATATATGTATGATCTTATACATTCAATTCATAATTCATATCATTATTACAATCTATTATTCATCAAATCATTATACTATTTAAGCATTTTACAAATTCGCAGTCAAAAAAATAGCCATAATATCTCGCATCAGCAACACACGATACTTATAATGATCGGAAAATATTGGCCTGATAACGAAGGATTAAGGAGCAAAACAAGGCAACGATCGTAAGTAGATTTAACATGGCATAAAAACTACAAACAGCTCACCGCTTAACCTGGCGAATTACAGCTAATGCTCGATATATCATTTACCTGAGCTATCTAGAGCGACAAACGTATGAAGAGCATTATATAAGCAGTCCCAACTGATAGCTATGCGAGTTGCTCTACGGGTGATATAATATATATAGTAGATATTTCAACGCACCGCACGACCGTTGTATAAGCGCTTCAACGCTAATAACAATAATATAATCAGTTGTCCTATCTCACTCCCTGATCTACATCGTACAGAACTCGATAACTAACCACACTCATACATACATAAATCCTAAACATAGCATCGACCATACACATACTAACCAACTAATAACCTATCATCGATACTAACATCTATCTATCTACATACATCACTAAACTCCGAGATCCTAATCTATCACCAATACTCTATCTACTCTATCGAAACTCTAATACTATATACTCACAATATCTATCATAATCCTCACTCTACATATTACGAGTATAATTCCAGGTCTATCCTATCATTTTCTAGATACCTGTGACCCTCACGGTACTACGTCTAGTCATCAGTCTACGTACGGACCGACAACATACAAAAATCCTTAGAATCCATACATCTATCTATCTAATCTATCTATCATAATCACTAGCTATAGCTAACACCATCACATATATCACTATAATATACTATCTATCTTAACATTACCAAACAAGCGATTCTATCATAAATTAATATATCTATCTATTACTATCTTCTATACTCTAGTGCTAATCTATCTATCATATTAACGCTATCTTGATACTATCCTCAACTATCTATACTATTGTATCTCTCCTAATCGATCCATACTATACTACCTCCTATCTATCCTATCTAATCTATCTACTCTATGCTATATCTATCTATCTATCTATTATCTCATACTATTTAATCTATTAGTAATATCTATACTAATCTATCTATCTATCTATCTAATCTATGCTATCTATCTATCATAATTTATCGAATCCTAATAATATCTAATCTATCATATCTATCTATACCTAATCTATCATAATCATTATTCTAATTCTCATTCCTATGTCTATCCTATCGATAAATCTATCTATCTATCTATCATCGATCTTCACTCTAATCTATCTAATCATCTATCTTATCTTATCTATCCGTATCTATCATATTTTTATCTAGTTTATCGTATCTATCTACTCCTATCTAGGTCTATCTAATGTTATCTTTTAGTGTACAGTTATAAAATATCCATCTATCTACTGCTCATCTCCTATGCCTCACCTCTCATCAGTCAATCTATCTAATCCTATCTATCTATCTATACTAGTCTTATCTATATTACACTATCCTAGTCTATCTCATCTTATTCTATATTTATTATCTATATCTATCGTACTCCTATCTATCGATCTAGTTTCTTATCTATCGTATCGATCTATCTATCTATCTTCCTATCTATCCTATCTATCGTATCTATCGTGAATCGTATCTATCTAATCTATCTATTCTATCATATAATTCTATCTATCTATCTAATCCTATCTATCTATCTATCTATCTATCTATCTGAGATCTATCGTATCTTGATCAAATAATTCTAATCGTACTCTACGCTCTATGCATATCTTATATCCCTATATCTCATCCTATCTGCGTTAATGATATCCTGCTGCTTATTGCTATCTCGTACGTCTACTTAGTTATCCACAATCTCCCTACTCTAGTCCTACTCGTAGTCGTACTCAGGATCTACTCGATCATGTATCATAATCCTGAGTCTATCTATCTCCATCATGACGCGTTGATAAAACAACAACATTCTCACGCTTGATGCGACGAGATTATAGCGGCAAATGATCTTTCTTTGTACTTCCTTTGCCATTAACGTCTTATTTTCTTTTATAGGTACATTGTCTGTCATGTAGCGTGTATCTCTCGATCTATCCTTCTACTTAGTCTAAGTTTTGCCATACTTATATGTATGAGTATGATATGTATGTATGTATAGATCTATGTATTGTATCGGTGATGTTATGTTATCGTGTATTTGTATCTCGTTGTATGTATGGTATGTATGTTATGTATCGTAGTGTATGTAGTCGTTTGTAAATGGCTCATGGCTTGAATGTAATGTTAGGTATAGTTATGTATTTGTATGTAGTTTTTGTTAATACAATGTATCGTAATGATAATGTGAAATGGTTAGGATAGCGTATAGTATGCTTATGTATGTTAATAGTGTTGTATTAGTATTGAGTATATGTATTGTATGTATGTATGATATGCATCATGTAATTGTAATGTATGTATGTATCGTATGTGAATATGCTATGTATATGTTATGTAGGTAGATGTATGTATGTATAGCTATGCTTCATAGTATGATAGTATGTATGATAAATTATTGTGATGTACTGTAATGTATCGTATGGTGATTACTGTCAGCGATGTATGTAGATATGTATGTATATTGATGTATGGATGCTATGTATATTTGTATGATATGTATGATGTGAATTGTAATGTATGTATTGTATTGTCATATGAATGTCATGCCTATGTTATATATAATGGAGTGAGTATGTATGTAATATGTATGTTATGGCCATGTATGTATGTGTTGTAGTGTGAGGTATGGTATATTGCTATGAGTATACTATTCTGTATGTAATGTATTAGTGAATCTAAATGTTATAGTAGCTACTAGTTTATGTATGTGTATGTATGCGTTATCTATGGATCTGTATGATTAATGTCATGTATGTAGGTAAGTGTATGTATGTACTGTATGTATGAAATCACTGTAGTGTACTTGTATTGTGTTATGTAATGTCTAGTCCAGATAGTTGTTTAATAGATGTACTGGTTATTCGGCTCAGATTTCGGTTTATCGTTATCATATGTATGTTAAAATGGATATGTTTACGAGTTATATTGTGAGTGGTAATATTTATATGCTTTCAAATCAGGTCCACAATAGTTAATTGTGGTACAGTGTATATGATTAAAACTGATAGTAGATACATTTGATGCTATTTAGTGTACTCGCTTGGATGCTGCGTACACTAGTGTTTACTAGCCTTCATTAGTAATGTTATGTTAGATATAATAGTGTATACTTAGAATTGACATAGCTTAACACGATGCAGTTAACATAGTAAGTAACTGATTTCTAACATGCCGTATCAAGATGATGTAGTGGTATGTTAATATGGCGTGGTATTTAATGGTAATGAGTTATATGCTTTAAATCGTATGCATATTTCGTAGCATTTATCGTAGTGCTACTCAAGTATGCTTAGTATGCTATGTAGTGGTATCGCTGAGTGCTATGTATGTATAGCATGATGTGTGAGTGAGTCATAGATAATGTACTCGTAATTGTATAAAGGTCATGCTAGTGGTACCTTGTACTGTTGTATGTAGTTGATTAATTGTATGTTATGTATGTCATGTATGTATGTATCCGTATGATACTGTAATAGTATTGTATGGTGATTAGTATATATGTATGCTATGTTATGATACTGTAATGCTAGTGTATGTAGTGTATGTGAGATATGTATTTGTATGTATGATCATAGTATGTATGTTAAGAGTATGCTCACTAAGAGTAACGAATGTATGTAATGATATTGATATGTGTATGTATCGAGTATTGAATGCTATGTTAGGTATGACTAATGTATGAATACTGAATTTGTCACTATGTATGTATGGTAGTATGTATGTTTGTTATGTATGGTGAATTAGTATGTATGGATACTGTAGTGTAATCGATATCGTAGTGTATGTACATTGTAGTCGTCTGAATATGTTATGTATGGTACTGATTATGTAGTAGATGATATGTAATATAGTGATAATCATGTATGTATTTGATTGTAATTGTATGGGTTAAATTTATTATGTTTATGGAATAGTATATATTGTATATAGTATGACTAGTTGAGTAGTGTATATGGCATTATTGAGATAGTTATGATATTGTGAATTGTGTATTATGGGTATTATATGTTTATGATTGATTGCATGAATAAGGTATATGTAATTTTTGAATAGTGAGTCAATATTTGATAATTGTCCAATAGTCCTTGTTGTATTGTAGACTATTTCCTTGAACAATGTGAAAGTGCTAATAGGTAAGTGTAAGTACTTGATACCAGTTGTATTGGGGGTGGACTGCCTCATTAGCTTGATATATGATAGTTATTGATGCCTCCACTGGTAGTGAATCCATGTAGATATGTGTATGTAGGTGTTGTTATAGCCCACCGTGTATTGGCAAGATGCAATCGTATAATGTATATGATAATGTATACTGCTATGTGAGTGAGTATGTAGATGTATGAGGTATATATGGTATCAGTATGTATTGTTATGATATGTATGTAATGCTATGTATGTATCGTATGTTCTGGTATAGTATGTATGTATGTTATGTATGGTTATGTATGTACTCTATGCTATGCTGATGTATGGTGGGACTAAAGATATGATAAACTGAGTCACTTGTAAGTGATAATGTATGTTATTAGATTTTAAATTATAAATACGTATTTCGGTTATTACTGCTATGTATGTCTCCTCATGTATGTATAGTAGTGTATATGTACAGTGTCGTAATTGACTATTATGATACTGTATGTATGTGATGTGAGTGTGACATGTTATGATAATATACTTGTATGTATGCTAGTATGAATATTGTATGTTAATTCTGTATTATGGTGATGTATGTATAGCTATTGTATGTATGTGATTTTTTTTATTTAGTATAGTATTTGTAAGTACTCTATGTTACCTGTATACCTGTAAATGTATGTATGTATGTATGCTATCGCATGCCATTGCGATGTCATGGCATCATGTCATGCATGCTGATGCATTGATCTATCCTAATCGTATCATCATGCTACTCTATCTAGTCTATCTATCGTCGAGTCTACATCTATCTATCTTTCTAAGTCTATCGTATCTAATCTATCTATCGTGATCTATCTATGCTACTCGTATCTATCCTATCTATCTGATAGATCTATTTTATGCTATCTAGTCTATCGATCTATCTATCTATTCTATCTAGCATATCCTAATCGTATCTATCTATCTATCGTCTCTATCATAGTTTGTAGTATCATACTATATTGTATATATATAATATATAATTATATATATATCTAATCTATACATTGCTGTGCTACGTCTTATACCTATCTAGTCCATAACTATCGTCATGCAGCTATCCTATCTCAATCGTATCTATCGAGTAAGGTTATAGTAGCCTCACTGCTTACCACTTAACTCTAGAGCATCTATCACACTCTTATAGTCTCAATAGATGCTACGTCATAGATTCTGCACTCACTCTGTATCCAGAGAGACATGATGAGCCAAGATTTCGTGGCCACAGCTTTGGCTCGTGATCCTAAGCCGCTGCGCGCGCGGAGGAGACGGCGCCAGTTCCGCCGAGGGCAGTATGCGCACGCGACAGCGAGGATGTTCAAGTCATGAGATAGCGCTGCTCCGCCAGTGGAGACGTGCGCCAATATTGAGGCCCAGCGCACTGCTCTCCACAGCGGTCACGCGCCGAGGTTTGTAGTTTTAGGTGAAGATGACCAGAAGCTCGATTCAGGTATATGGACGATATTCTGACGAATTGGATGACTATACTAAAATCTTAGTAACAAATACCGCCGCAGTCATGACTCCAGATTAGCATGAAACTCACAGAGATATAGAACCTTGTTAAGTATGAACAAATACAAATACGCAGTGCGCGCGTCTATAAAAGTTTACAAGCATACATACAAGGATATGAGAAGGAGACTATTAAGTATTGCGCATTCCGATTAGGATATAGATCAAAAAGATCGCATCGAAATTACATCATACCTAGCGGGATTTTAGATTAGAATGACGTGATCAGGCGACGGTTATATTCGCACTATGATCGCAAGATTACCGTACACACTGGGAGAGACCAAATGGGTAAGCGCTCATGATGATGCGAACTATTCACTCGAAGTATTATCTCATGGGGTCTAGAGAGCGCGAAAATTGTGCATGAGGACTAGTTAATATCATACTACGTTAGACAGCACAGCAGGTGAAATTAATTACGAGAACGTGCTAGGTTTTACTTGCGTCTCTGGAAGTAAGCAGTGACCAATTAGGAGCTGTAATGCGCAAGAATGTTGAGATAAAATGGTGGAGATGTTATCTGAGAATGATGTGCCTCTGCTGCACAAATTGATTAAGATCTACGCATAGGAAATAACGCAGAAAATGCCCATCGCATCAGCCTCAAGTACTCATCGACAGATAGGATGAGACTCTGTCCCTACCTGGCTCAATCTACGAGTGATCCTGAGTGCATTACTGAAGGTGCACTGCATGTCAGTTTGGCATATCGGCACCTGACTTTCGTACCCGGCCTGACTAGTTCACACCGCCTACACGAACTAGAGCGTCAGTGTCGCCAAGTGAATACTTGCTCGGGAGTGTATAGTGGCGTAACGGAGGTAACCAAGTCTAGCATCGGCCGGGTCATTACTATCTCCATTTAACGAAATAAAGTAAACACAGTCCGGTATAGACGTAACTGTCCGTCGGTGACGCCCCATTCATGGCCATCGAACAAAGAAGGCGGGCTTAATCTGATTACGGAAGATGCGAAAATGCAACAGAAGTACGTTAGCACAGTTGCAGCCTACTGGCGTGTTATTTTCAGTTTTGCTGCCAAACCTCCTATCGTGGAAACCTCCGTCTTCAGCCGTAGCAGGATGCCCTAGTTCTTAGATCGGCAGATTTTGGTATCTGTAAGTATGCTCGTCTCACCTATAAAATTTCAAAGGGTATGCTGCCGCGTAAGCTTCGTACAGACTCACTATATATTGTCGAGGTACACACAAGTAGTACGAGAATCATACGGCTCGCCCGTGTATACTCGGTAGTATCGAATACATTTTGGCTCGCATACATTGCGTCACAAAGTACGCGTTGCAGGTAGGTATATTGAGCCTCTCTTGTTACATACAGATAAGTCATGACCAGTCGATTCATACGCCAGCAGAATCAGATGCCAGGAGTGAGAATACCCTAGTCTAGCATGTGCGGCTAGGAATATTATTATACCGAATCTATTGCCCCTTGCACAACAGCGGCATGCGATATAGATTGAACGCTGCTAGCCGCAAGGGCCCATTTGATATTTTTTTATTATTATTTTAGCGTCTAGTTTGCCGGTAAATAGAAACAGGCCACATGTCAACAGGATTCACTTCTGCAGACGTCGGGATGAACTGGCGAAGCACGCTGTGGCGAAAGAATTGGCTAACACAATCCAATGTTCCCATGTGTCCAACACGGGATATCCAAAGTGTTACATATTACGTAAATGTGCCGATCGCTCCTAAGAGAACATAGTGAATAGCACCCTGACCAGATGATTGGCGATGTTGGAAATAATGGAAACGACAGATCAGGACGCAGACAGACGAAAACACAAGACCTAATCCCACACAATCATAGCCGCCCTTAGAAAGTAGTACAGTATAGTATATATAAGTATATTATATAGTATAATACTACATATAGATATAATATATTTCACACACACACACGACCACACACAACACAACACACACATGCGCCCGCATGTGCGCAGAAATATTGACGAGATATCGAGACCTCGTCCTCTATAAACGCTGTCCAAAACGCGCGCATGCCTATCAACAAGCAACGTGTTCCAATGAGCATTTTGCTGCAGATACAAGGCTGGCTGGTGGTATGGCAAGTGTCACACGTCCAACCTGAACGGCCTTTACCTACTCGGGACTCACGTTTCCTTCGCCGACGGAATCAACTGGCAAACATGGCGGGGCTATAATTACTCACTGAAGCGCACAGACATGAAGATACGACCAAGCAATTATCGCAACTAG